AGCCTTTGCCCACCTTCCTGCCACTGATCATCATATCCACCAGAGACCCAGGGTTCTGGATTCTACTGCAGGCCATCACCCCAACTTCTCGTGGCTCAGTGTGCCAGATAGTGTGGCAGTAGAGCGTCAGTAAAAGTGTCATTTGAGTGGGGTGGTGGGTGGTTTTGAGATCACTGAAGAGTTGAATATGATGCAGTGAATGAGGTACCTATTTGCCAAGTTGTCCTTCTTCTTCGGAAATCATATATATCTGCAAGGCAGTATGGTTACACCTCATGCTATCTGTACCTATTCAGTGTCAGCTTCATCAGCCTTTTCTAGCACTAAACTTCCTAATAAAATCTAAACTATGACTGATTTCACCCCCAGGTTCATAATTTGGTGGCCATTGAGTTAGCCTATATCAACACTAAACATCCGGACTTTGCCGATGCCTGTGGGCTAATGAACAACAACATAGAGGTAAGAAACACCCAGTCTTTTAATGTGGTGCTCTTCTTATTTAGGTGGAATCTTGAATAAGCTTTCTTCCTAATAAAAAAAAGAAAAAAGAAAAAGCATAAATGTTTTTTCTTGCAACTGATTTGTGCCTTTAGCTGCTTAATAATAATACAAAAAATGTGTAATTACAGGCTATACATATTAAGTGTCTTTATAAGGCATCTTTTTATATTCCTTTGGAGCAGCTTGAAGCATTCCTTATCCTTTTTTAATCATGTTTTTCAAAATAAGGAAATACATTGTGGTAGTATGTTTTAAATACCAATATCACTTTAGCATCTTTTTCTACATCTTATCGACAGGATCAAAACCTCACAAAACAAAGAATGCAATACGTAGTGTTCATCAGAAGAGATGCATATTAGGAAAGAAATAGCTTATTGGTAATTCTCTCTTGAAGACTGAATAATTGTAGATATCAAGAGCCTGTTGTTACTTTAGATTTTTCTCATTTTGAAAAAAGATCTTAAATACATAATCATGAAATGGTCTCCTAACAAGTAATGGGCATGTTTATCTCTGGCTCCCCCCACAGCAGTATTTAATACTTTCATTCCCATGGTATCCTTTAATTACGAAGAGATGATGCACATGCTGACACTTCTGCTTTGCTTTCAGGCTGATTTCTAGTTGCTTCTGACATCTTCCCTTGAAGTCCATTTCTAACTCATGCAAGCCCCTTACCATTTCTCAACTTTATGCCACTTGCAGCATTATTAGCCTGCCTGTTTTCCAGGACTGTATTTAATACAACATTTGAATTGTTTCTTGCTAAATTTTGTTGCTGGCCGACTCCCTCACTAAAACTTAATCTTTCCTTATTGCTCTGCTGGAGACTTTGCTACTGAATTGAATAATCACATTCTATTTCGAATATTTTAAAGCTTTTAATTGTCTGATTTCCCTGCTTCTTATTTTCTCCAGCCTGTTCATATCTTCTCTCCACACACCTCTCTTTAATTATTATGCATTATACCTCGGTTAATTTATCACTCCAAGGGGACTGATGATGAGAAACTAATTTTCAGTAGTTGGTTATTTTCAACATTTTCCATGACATAGACACATGAACTAATAATTTTTGATGTTTAGAAAGAATATGTTTAGAAGTTTGAATGAAAATATACGCGCTCTTGCCTTTTATAGAAGAACTGTATGATCTTTAGAGATGCTTTAGTGTACAGGTTCTTATGAAAAAATATCAGAATGTCCATTATGCAGCAATTACATTGTTACGATGGAATAAAATAATCAGTCAAGGAATTTTGCTTTTCATTCTTGCATGAATTTATTACCAAATAGAAGGTAATATTGTAAAGTGGAACAGTTGACCATTTCTGTCCTTAAACCAAGAGAAGCTGAAGAGTATCCAGTGCTTTTGTGAGCATCACCTGGCTTGACATTTACTATGGAGGGCTTAGGCCAGCTACAAGCTTTTAATCCTACTACTTATCAAGAATGAATTCTGTCATGGTTTAATATGCACACACATTGGAAATGCCTAATTACACTTCTAACAGATGGCAAATTAGTGTGGTTTGCGTACAAATCAATAGGACCATGAGAGATTACAGACTATTAAGACCAAAGCAGCAAGTTATTCCAATAACTAATTATCCAGATATTGTTGTCATCTTCTCTGCACTTACTGTTTCAGTTCTTTGTATTTTTTTTTGTATAAAACTCTAAGCTCTGAGGAGTTATGGCCTTGATTCTGCAATTAAATTTTTATAGGGGGTCTGCCCATGCGGTGTAGAGTAGACAAAGTGCACCTCTGTTTGATCCCATTACAAGCATGAGGACAGGGTTGTAAAGTGTCTATAAACTTATGCTAATCTTGCCTTTGTTACTTAATAACGTGTAATCCTGACACCCTCCTGAACAAGACTCTGTGTATAAAATGTCTGAAGAAATAAAAGTTGTCATGTTTTATCCTTATTTAGTCAGGGATCAGATTTAATTACCAGATCACTCCCATCTTTCCCTTTATGCACTCAGACATTCTTTAGCTACTGTTTTGTTCCATAGGTAACACAAGCTGTTTTCTTGTATCTTGCCTTTTGGGGCAATAATGATCCAAGTAGCCAAGCCACCAATAGAAGCTTGTCTCTCTTGATTTATTTCAGAAATGCAGTTCTTTTAACGAGGACTGTGAGGATCTAACCTGACCCATGCTAAATAGGTGCCTCTAGCACAGAAGCTGATTTCTTGAGTGTAATTGCTAAGAGCTCTGCTTTCAGTGTTCTGCATATCAAACAGTTATTCAGTGGAAGTTTAATATTGCCAGTTAGTTTTGAATACTTATGCCTTCAGACCTGTCTTATTCATCTATCTATGGTTTTGCTCTAGGGAAGTGGTGTTCAGCCTTTTGGACCTGCAGACCAGAAAGGCCGCCTGGGGCTGGTCCACACCCTCCCTGCCCCCCTGAGTGCTGGGATTGGGTCCTGAGATTCCAGCACCACTGCCTCCTGAGGGGTTTTGGTCCTAAGGGGGTTGGGGCAGACACATCCCCCTGTCTGCTGGGATTGGGGCCCTGGGGTGGGGCCACTCTTTGCCCTGTGCACATCCAGGCCCCGTGCAGAGCACAGGGCCAAGGGGCCAGAAGTTTGGTAGCAGGGGAGTGGTGCCACTGTTTTCCTATCACTAAATTTCTGGACCCATGGGATGCCTGTGAGACAGATGACATGGGACCATGGGCTGGATCTGGCCTACTCTTGAGCACGTCTACTCTAGAGCCTTGTAGTATAGAATATAAGCTACAGTAAATATAGCTCATAATGCTAGCATCAGCCTCTCTGATTTAGGTCGTTGTCCCTGAAGCAATAAAGCTTGAGTGCACCTTGACAAAGTGATACATAATCAAATTTTTTGCTGGTTTGTTTTTAAAGGAGCAAAGGCGTAACAGGTTAGCTCGGGAATTACCTTCAACCATGCCACGAGACAAGGTTAGTTAATATACGTTTGTATTTATTTATTTAAATGTGTGCTTTTCAACCTGATCCAACCATGACAATCCCTGGTCTGATGCCCTAGTACTTAATTTTATTTCAGGGGATGAAGGAGTTAATTGGAGTTGAACATTTTCTCTTGGATACAGCTTTGTGCAGATTTTTAAAACCGCCAAGAGAAAATGCACTGTCTTATGTGCATAGGGTGCATAAGCATCCTGTTTACTTAGGTGAGGTTTAATGTGTTTGCAAGTGTGAAACGGAGTGGGTCATAACTATGGACTGAGAGAGATTAATTTCACATTGAGGGAGAGGCTTATAAAGTACAGTGTGCAAACAAGTCCCTTTTACGGCTTTAGTGGAGTGCAACATTGCTGTCTTGGGAAGAAAAAAATGAAGCAAAAAATGGGAGTTTATCCTTATGCTTAGATAGGGATCCAGTGTAGTTACTGCTCCTTCAGCTGTATACAGTCAGTGGGTTTAATTTGCCAGGTTCTCAGAACAAGTTGGGTAATTAATTCATTCACATGAAACAGAACAAAGTGGCCTGAAAAAATCCTGCTTAGTTGTGGAAAAGGCCATCTAACAATTTGTCATTATTTTAGCTTATTACAGGTACTTATGCATACTTGGTGGTCTGTAAAAGTAGAGCAAACCCAGAATGATGCAAAATGACTTGTTTGTGTCTCCAAAATGTTGGTTTAACCTTGTAGGAATTGTCACAATTTGTAACTTATATTCAATGAACTGCCAAAATGTATCCAACATAGGTTAAGGGTGAATTGGGAGCCCAATCAACATGAATTGGGAACCTTAAGCAGTCTAGAGTTTGCTTTCTGTGCTCTGTAACCATGCACGTTACATTCTGCTTTTGATGAATTTCATTGGAAAGTATAGTTTTTAAATCTGCAGTTTGACATTGGGGACCAAGCAGAATGCTTGATATATATATATATATATTTTTTTTTAAGTGGCTCCTTTTCAAAGCCTTTGGGAAGTTGTTTTTTTTTTTTTTTTTCCCCTGTCCATTCTACCATGTTGCTTGCAAATCTCAAAGTTCCAGTGCTTTTCTGGGTGGTTAACAACACCAGTAGAGAACAATGCACAAATGTATTAGATAGGCTTTGTCTTCATTTGATTTTTTTTTTTTTTTTTTTTTTTTTTTTTTTTTGCTGAATTTTTTACCTTTAGTCTACTAAACCTACAGGTGCATTAGCACCTGCCTCCCAGGAAACTGCTACTGCTGCTTCTGCTGAGGCTGATGGCAAGGTGTGTCCTGATTCTTTCTATAAGCATGGCATGCATGTTCTTGTGATGCACCTTGAACACAGTTGAAAGTAACTTAATATGCATGTGTGTCACTACTGGCGCAGTGTCTTCTGTCTGGATCATGTGTCCTGTAGTGCTGAGACTGCCTATCACTACTCATAATGCTGTAGGACAGTGGTTCTCCACCAGGATGCTGCTATACCCAGGGATGCTCTGAGGAACCCTCCCCTCCTTCCTCAGGGGTGCCATGATGCAGGCGTTGCTGCTGTGATGACAGTAGCCAGATAAAACTGCCCTGCTTGCAGGTGTGTGCCATTCACACATTCTGGTTACATTAGGGCTCTCTGATAACCCTAAAGCAGACATAGCTGACTTGGGCTGTAGCCCATCCAGCAACCCCCCCTCCCACTCCAAAAAATAAATTAAAAAAAAGCTCCTCCTGGAAACAGAAGTTCAGGGGAAAATTCTACTTGTGTGCCTCTGTTTCCAGGAAAGGGAAGAGGAGAGTAGTTTGCAAGGAGCTACAGTCCAAGCCAGCTGTCTGCTTTAGAGCAGTGGTTCTCAAATTTTTTTTTGTACCAGGACCCATTTGTAAACATTGGCCAGTCCTGACCCAGTGCCTCTCCCTCCCAACCCACTATCTGCTGCTGGGGTTGTGGGGCATAGTGGGGGGGCTCCCAAGTAGCCCCTTGCAGGCTGGAACTCTGGCAGCCTGCAAAGGAAAACCCACCGTTTCTCACATTTTTCTCCTTTAAAGGAGAATCCATTTTTAAAGTTTGTTGATCCATTCATAGAGTTTTTTCATGACCCTTCAATATATTTTTGTGACATGCTTTTGGGTTACACCCCACAGATTGAGAAATGCTGCTTTAGGGTTATCAGAGCTCTAATACAGGAGGAGTGTGTGCATGTGCCACAGCCCTTTCTAGGCTGGCTGTACAAGAGCAGGCACACAGGGCAGTTTTACCTGGAGATGGAAACATGGAGGTAAGTTGAGGCAGCACTAACAGTGGTTCTCAGCTGGGGATGTTGCAAACTTTTAAATGTGGTGGAGGGGTGCCCTGACTCAGAAAAAGTTGAGAACAACTGGTTTACGATGTATAAAGATGGGAAATGGGCTGAGTATATTCAGGTAGAACCTTTGCTGCTTTCAGCTGGAGCATTTGTTTGCGGTATGTGATGGTGCAAGTGTGCAGAGCCATTATTTGCAGAAACTTCTTTCACCAAAGTAGCCTACAGTACTTTAATCAAACATGTCAAGTATCGTTTTTAAACCGCGTGTTTTAATGTCTTAACAGTTAATAAAGGAGAGCAGGAGACATACTTAAAATGTGAGTCTCCTGCTTCCTGCAGGGAATTTTGCAGGCTCTGTTTAATGAGCTTCGCTTTTGAAGTCCCTAATCTCTGCTCACTAATTGGTTCATACTTGTACAAGGCATCCTATAATGGCTTTTTACACTTCCACACCAGTATCCTACCTGCTTTGTTACATTTGTGTTGCATCCATGCACAACAATTGTTTGCTAATATATAGGGGTGCTCCGATAGAGATTTTGGGGGCCAATACTGATAGCCAATATTTAAGGAGGCATATCAGCCAATACTGATTCAATTTCCGATAGAGCTGCCTCCAGCTGGTAAGTCTGTTGTTGGGGGGGGCAGATCAACACCCCCTGTGGTGAGGGAGGGGGTGCAGGGGTAGGTGCTGTCTGAGCGGGGAGGGGCTGGAGAAGAGCCAGGGCTGTGCTGGGTGGCTGGTAGCAGCAGCACTGAGAGCAGAGCAGCAGCAAAACTTGAGGTGGTTGCAGCATCCTCCCAGTGCCACCGAAGCCTGCTCTGAGCCCAGCCCCCACTGAGAAGAGCCTTGCCCCACCCTGCACAGATACAGATCCAGGGACACATGCCACCCCACCGTGCCCTCCTGGGGTGGGAGCCGCCTCCTCTGCCCCCTCCCTCTGCCCCGCCTGGACAGTGCCTGCTCCCTCCCTCACTGCGAGGGGTGTTGATCTGCTCCCCCATGCCCCTTCCCTGCCCCCTCCCCTTCCACCACAGTGGACTTACCAGCTGCACACAGCTCTCCACACTGTTAGCTGTGGTCCTCACTGCCTGAGTGCTGTGCTGCGGCTGCACACAGCATGGGCATTTATCAGCCAAATTATCAGCCCCATCGGGCTGATATCTGATGCAGCAAATTTTTTTTTATACCGGTACCAATCCGATATCGGACCAATGTATCGGTGCACCTCTACTAACACATTATTTCACAGGCAGAATCGCTTGGTGCCTATTGTACTAGGTGCAACATGTACATAACCCTGCTTGCAATGAGCTAGAATTCTCTTTAGGTGCTAGCTATTTGATTACAGGAATCATAACTGGATGTAGTAAGAATGGGCTAGGGGCAAGCACCTGAAAAAGCTGAAAACTGCACTGTTGACACTGAGTTTGGGGTGTTAGTGATGGTGTAGGTGTTCCTTAGGGCACCAGGAAGGATGGTATCAATAATTGCAGGGGAATTGCTGAATTCTGGTGCTTTCTTGTTCACTATACAAAATATATACTTTTATGTGGGTGCATGCATCTAAATACTCTATCTTAGATTCTGTTCATTTTTAAAAGAATGCGGTGACTGATTCTGAGAGGGGCCTTGTGTGCCTGTGGGGCCGCTAATTTAGAGCTGCATTCAGGAGCTTAACACCTAAATTGTGAAGTCATTAGGAGCAGAAGTCCTAACATTAGCTGAACACATCATAAGCTTCCTTTTAAACCCCTTGTTGTTTCTCTTAATGCCTCTACTCTACTAATACTGTATTTACTCGAATATAAGATGACCCTGAATATAAGATAATCCCCAATAATTAGATTCTCTATCTGGGAAAATTATAAGAAATAAATCACTTCAATGATTTATTTCTTATAATTTTCCAGGCATGGAATCTAAGTACAGTAAAATCTCTGTTTTCCGGCATTTTGCTAGCCAGCATCCTCTATTAACCGGCACTACACCACTGTGCGGGCCGGGAGCGGTCCGAGGCTTTCGGGGGCGCGCGGCGGGCTGTGGCCAGCAGCCATGGCACGTGGGTCGGGGAATTCGGCACAGCGGACTAGAATTAGGCACGGACGCGTAGCGGTTGATTAAAGATTATTTTACTTACACCGTAGATGGTCGCGGTGCAGGCAGGGAAAACTTCGCTTAAGTCGCAGTTACAAACGAAAAGAAAACTCGCTCGAGCAAGACCTGTAGAAAACTTGAGCCTCTTGAAATAACCCGGAAAGAGCTCTGGATGCACACGCACGTGCGCGCACACACACACACACGAAGTTTGCTAGGCTCCGTGGCTCGAGCGCGCAGGGAAGGGTACGTCAAGGGATCAGGCGGCGACGGGGAGAGGCTAGAGGTTGATCAGGCCCCTGTATCCTCCTTAAGGCACACGCTGAGTTTGTTAGGCTCCACAGCGCTTAGAGTTCTTCACGAGATGTGAAGTTCTCCTTCTCCTACCGTGCAAAGAAAGCTCCTTGTGGCGGGAAATAATTCTGCAGTGCCGAAGCGCACACAAAATCATACCCTTGGGTCATGACAACCACCACTGCGTGCAGCCATCCTGCGCTGCCATCACATGCAAGCCACGTACAATCCCCCCGTGTTGCTGCCGCTGCCATCCACCACCACCACTGCATGCACCCCCTCCCCCCTTTCGGGTATTTTTAGATAACCGGCATTTTTACATTACTGGCACCCAGCATTCCCCGCTCATGCTGGATAAGGGAGATTTTATGGTATTGGAGGATTGTCTTAAATTCCCTGTCCACCCTCACAGCTACATCAAGGAAAGCAGTGGATGGAGGGGAGAGGTGGCCCCCTTGTCCTGTGCCCTGCCTACTTCTTCCTCTGCAGCTATCCTGCTCCCCTGCAGCCTGCACCCCCCCACCCTCAACTTCCCCCAGTCTCTGCCTCTTCTCCCTCCTGCACCCCCCCCAAATGCACACACTTTCAGGTGCTGCTTGGGCTGCTCCATAGTTTCATAGTTGTATAGTTGTTAGGGGCTGGAAGGGACCTTATTGATCATTGGGTCCAGCCCCCCTGCTTTTGGGCAGGAAAGGCTGCTGGGATCAAATGACTCCAGTGAAATAGGCGTCAAGATGCTTTTTGAAGATCGCCAGGGTGGATGATTGTACTGCCTCTGTTGGGGAGACTGTTCCAAACCCTTGGCATTCGACTTGTAAAGAAATCTTTCCTTGTGTCCAGTCTGAAGCGATCCTCAATCAGCTTGTGCCCATTATTTCTTGTCTTCCCCTGGGGGGCCTTGGTTAATAGATGCTCTCCCAGGCCCTGATGTATGCCCTTGATTCCAGATCACAGCATGTGAGAATCTCAGCCCTTGCCTGGCCATTCAGCAGTGTCAGGCAACTGGTTCAGGGAGGTGTGAGCCTTCATAAGTGACAGTCCACTTTGTCAGACACTATTAATTACTTACAAAAGCCCACACACTTCCCTATTTCTGCTTGACTTCAGATTAACATAGTTAACCACCTCTTTAATCATGCTTTTAAGTAGCTGAGCATTAAAGAAAAAAACCCAAAACCTTGAGCAGTTCCACTGGTTGGTCAGAATTGGTATTCATCCTTGAATACTTTGCTTTTAACTTGTAGGAAAGTTTATTTGCCATTTTTGCTTTCAGAACCTTTTAAGCCAAAGATTGGCTTTATGGTAGTTGTGGTTTTTTAACCATAAGCACAGTAATACAGGTTTGTCTTGTTTTCTGTCTGCTCTTGAGCAGATTGTAAGTTGTATTTTGAGGCTTTTGGTGATCCAAATATGAATTATAAATTTCTACTTCCTTTTTTTTTTTTCCAATTAGCTCTAGATACAAAGGGAAAAATGGTGAGCTCGGTGAATGAACAGTTTGGTAGGTGCCTAGAGAAGAATGGAAATGCTTGGATTTTGTGAATGAGAGCTGCCAGTGTAGTCTGTCATTTAGACTAATGTAACATTTGGCATGTTACTCCTGAGATACTTTTGCATCCTATGTTCCTAATGCACAGTCTACATTTAGGTGTTTTATATTCCCTATACAAGACCTGGGGGTGGAGTGGGAGGGGGGAAGGGAGGTGTCAGTGAGTCGATCCTTCTGTGTGAGACTGCACAGGCTAAGAACTCTAGTCCTTTACTTTCAGTAACTTAGGGGGAGATTTGCTTTGCTTTTGTTTTGCCTATTTGGGTTATTTTAAATTTTGGTTTCTTGGTGTGCTAAACCAAACTCACCTACCTAGAAGGGGTTGCCTTGGAGATGGATTGCTACAACTTTAAAGCTGTGCAACATACATTTTAATACTTGGGATCATCAAGGCATGTGGTTCTTACAGCTGTTAAAAGGGACCTTTTTGTTTTTACCTGAATTGAAGCACTGGAGCAGTTGTTCAAATAATTATACAAGCCCTTCATAGCTGTACTGCCTAGAAATTACAGAACCAAAGAAAAGTTGCTGCTCCCTGTTTTTGTAGGTGCTGCTGCTCCAAGATGCAGGGTAACACTTTCATAACTTCCTGCATGACTTAGTAGCCTAACTTACATTTTTAAAAACAATTTATATACTTTAGACCTTATCTACATAGGATCATAGGAATGATAGAATAGTTAGAAAGCATGAGGAAGTTTATATTCATGTCCTGCCTTACACTGGCAAAAAGTATTGTGGGTCTGCTTGTGGACTTTTAAGGTATTAAATTGAATTATAATAATTCAGCTCTATGGCTCCTTGAAACAGTTTCAGATAAACCCAGAAAGGTACTTTTATTCTGTGCAGAGGAAGGAGTACACTGAGAAGAAATGAAGTACACTGGAACAGTTGAATCATTTTTAACTGGAAAATCTCCCGTGTGTCACTGATCTTTTTGATGGGACTTGAGCTGTTGAGGGTCTGATTTCCTCTTGAAGATGAAAAGTGGGTTCTTGAGACATTTAAAACAGGTTTAAAAAAAACGAGTCAGTTCACGCTGACATTGGTCAATATTTAGTGAATTGGATGAGTCTCTCTCAAGTCCTCTACCCAGAGTTAAAGGGAGAGAAAAGGTGTTGGAAGCAAAGTCTGGAATGAGTCTCAGTAAGGGCTGTACACTCCAAGATGCAGACCACCACTTTTTGCCCACAGTTGAGTAGTAGTGTGCTTCACTGGAGACTGCCTTTGTGGTGTCTTTGATTTTTAACTTTTTGGTGTATGTTTGTATTGTGATCTTTTTGCAGGCTGTCCCTGGAGTAGGGGATGCAACACAAGAGCCCGGTACAGGCAGCTGGAGAGGGATGTTAAAACCCTCAAAAACAGAAGAATTGTTTACTGAGGAAAAGCCCAAACCAGTTTCAGTCTTACCTGCCAGCCCACAGAAAGGGTATGCTGTCAACCTGTTGGATGTGGTGAGTTGAGAGATGACGTAACTGCACCTTGTAGCTCAGATCCAGGAAACAAGACTTCTTAAGTCTGTTTTGAATTTAGCACCTTTAGACTATGCAACTGGGGAAACAGACTGACTTCATTCTCACAGTTTTCCTACTTCACTAGTGCTGCAAAATGATCTACTGTCATTGGTAGCGCAAATGCCCAATTTCAGCAGTAATGAATGGATAGGCATTTTCACTGTCAGGGACCTTGAGGTTGTGAAAAACGGAACATCAGTCAACTAAAAAATGTTACGTTTTTTTTCTCTTAAAGGGCTTTTTTTTTGGAGGGGAGGAGGGGTACTGCATTGTACCTTTCCTTTGAAAGTTACATTCTGCTATTCAAAGAAGTGAAATGTTTTAAACGGTGTTTACAGGTTAACTTTGTGTTTGCTTTTTCATATAGCCTGTACCTGTCGCACGCAAACTCTCTGCCCGTGAACAACGAGATTGTGAGGTGATTGAACGACTTATTAAATCCTACTTCCTTATTGTCCGAAAGAACATTCAGGACAGGTAATGCCTCATGTTTTCTGTATTGCCACTCTTATCTCCCAAAGCTATGTACACTTTTTTCAGCAGCAAGTGATGGTCAGCATCAGGTTGCTTTTATATTGCTTTGTCTTGTTAGTGAGATGGACAATATAATCATTCTGCAAGAGTAGAAGTTGTGAAATTTTATTTCTCATCAAACTGAAGTCATTTGCTAAGGAGAAGAGTGCACTGTTTCAGAGTGTCTAGTATTGTTTTCTACTTTTTGGGGGGATCCGTATTATATTGCACTGCAAGCTTCCAAAATTGGTGGTGGGGCAGCATTAATTGCTATTTCCCTGCTGCCAAATTTTCAGGGGAGGTAGAGCCCTATAGGCTGGATAACATGGCCCTACATGGTAGACTGGATGCACAGGGTGGTGTGGGGCCCATTCCTGTTGTGTGGGGCTAGCACAAGGCAGTGCAGGAACCGATGAATGGGGCTGAATCCGGCCTGCAGAGCAGCCTTATGTCACTCATCTGGCTCATGAGGCCAAAAGGTTGAGCCTTACAGCTGTAGGGCATGGCAATTAGTGTTAGGTGGATTGTGGTAAAACCCCAAGTATAGTTAGGCTTTCAAAACACTCAACTTTTCAGCTATCAACCATTCAACTAAGGAAGCTCATGTGGAGCTCTTATGCTAAAGTATTTCAGTCCTTGTCCATAGGAGTTGAAGAAGCAGATATCTAAGTGTGCCATACATACAAGTTGTATGATTTTTTATGACGTTATTGCCTTTAAAGCAGATCGTGGTTCTGTTTCAATCTAAGGAGCAAACAGAGCAGTAACTACATGATTTTATTAATACTTTGTAGGAAAAAAGCAATATATTCTCTTTTCTTTGTGTATACTTTAAAAAAAAAAAAGAGAGAGAGAGAAAAAATCTAGAAGATGGAGGTTAAATCAAGTTACTTTGCCAGTACTGTGGCCACTGCAAAATTGTCACTCCAGAAGATTTTCTCCAGAAAATTCTTCAGTATTGTGTCTAATGTAGGTTTATCTGTCTTTGGGGCAGAGGCTGCATGGTGTTCCTGAAAAGTTTAGTTGACTTATTCCTGATCCTCAACCTAAATCAACTACTACTTAACTTTTATCTCAGTACTTTTGGTTAAGCTGCATTTCCTTTTATGATTCTGAATAAGATTTTTCCTTGTTATGCACTTTTTTTCCACGTTCATAGATGGGGAACATTTACATTGTAGTTGCTCTTACATTCAAAGCTATGTAATATCTACTGCAGAGATATATTTTGAAAATGCCTGTTTTTGAAAAGAACATTCTGTACCTTTCTGCATAGAGGCTTTTACCACAGTGTTGCCTCAGGCCCCTTCCATCCAAACGCAACTTTGACCTGAGTTTAGTGGTACATTCAGCCTAAGCTAGCTGGGTCACTAAGGGCTATCAGCAGTAATCTTGGTTTTTTTCTGCTTAGGCTAGTAGTGTGCCTACTTGTAATGAGGGCACAGACTAAATCACTAAAGCACAAAATCAGTTCCATAGGCAGGCTCTCCCACAGTTCATAGAACAGCAGTTTACTGCAGCACAAATGGAGGGAGGCTCATCGAATAATTCCACCGGCCCTGCACTTCATTGTTTCTGGGAGATGCCATGAAGGGTTGGTCTGGGAAGGGCTGTGGCATGACCAGGGACTCCTGCCTGCTTTAAGGTTATCAGAGAGCCCTAATGCAGGCAGGAACATTCACATGCTGCATTCCTTCCCAGTCACACCATGGTATCCATGAAAGGGTCTTGCAGCATCCTGACTACAAAAAAAGTGCCTTTTGTTTATGCAGTGCTGAGCACATTGGGGCTGTTCCATAATTAGGGCTTGTAGGCAATTCAGTAATATATATTATAATAGCATTATCTCACCAATTCCCATCTAATTGACCCCTTCCCTCCCCCCGGAATCTGTTTTGGTGAGCTGTGCTTGTGCTGTTAGATGCCTTAAACATTGTGTCCATTCCTATTCTCCGTTCCATCTGGTCCACACTACATAATTTTGAGGGCAGAATGCAAGTTCTGCAGACAGAACTGTGAGCTGGCAGATTACCAGCAGCAGAAGATGTATGTAGACCCTTGTTCTCTCTACTAGGGTTAGTGACCCATTCCATGGTGGATGCTTTCCCAAGATGCCCTTCATGCTGTGCCAGTGCAGCTGCTGCAGTGGGACCTTGCAGGTGTGAATGCCTTTTGGCAGCAGAAACAGCCATTGTATAGGCAAGGCCTTAGTTATTATCCTGTACTGAAGAGCTGTCTTAGTGTTTCAGCATGCTGGGCTTCCTGGGGCCTGATCTTGATTGACTGCTCATTCTTACTGTAATAAAAAATATATTATGCTTTCTATTATTTGAACAAAGCATAGAGTCCCTTCATTTACTGTAAAGTACAATCATAGAATCTTGCAAAATTGGGGTTGGAAGGACCTCAGGAGGTCATCTAGTCCCAACCCCCTGCTCAAAGCAGGACCATCCCCAACCAGATCACTCCAGCCACGACTTCGTCTAGCTGGGCCTTAAAAACCTCCGAGGCTGGAGATTGTATCACCTCTGCGTGACCCATTCCAATGCTTCACCACACTCCTAGTGAAAGAGATTTTCCTCATATCAAACGTAAACCTCCCTTGCCGCAACTTAAGACCATTGCCCCTTGTTCTGTCATCTGCCACCACTGAGAACAGTTCAACTCCACCCCCTTTGTAACCACCTCACTCCAAGTCACCTCAGAGGCAAAGATTTGGCCTGTTAGACCGCATATAATCACTGCAGCTATTTAGGAAAAGCAATTAAGTTTACAGCAATACGTAATAGGCCTGTGTGAAATTTCGGCAGCTGTTCCGTTTCGGAGGTGTTTTGGGCCATTTCGGCACATGAAACGCCAAATCTGAATCGAAACGGAAGGCTCTGAAATAGCTCTGAAATGTTTTGGAGCAGAACTTGCAGGGAAACAAAAACTAAGAAGAGAGAAAGAGGTGGGGAGGGACTGCTCTGATATTGACATCTAGCTCTGATTGCTTCCCCCAGCTTTTCCTGGGGGGTGCGGCCCCTGATTTGCACGCGGGGTTTCAGCAGGCTGCCACTGCAGGCTGTGGACAGTGGCAACTGCTCAGCACAGGCCACGCTGAGCGCTGGGAAGACTGCAGTGCTGCTGCTGGCTCCAGCCTGCAGAAACACAGCATGCAGATCCAGGGGCCCATGTCCCCTGGGAAGAGTTGGAGGAATTGAACCGGGGGCTAGAAAATGTAACAGGGAGCTGGGCGATCCCTGCTGTGCAACCTGGCTCCCCAGGGAGAAGAGATCCCTTTTGGGGTCTGCTCCTCACCGCTACTCACCCTGTGCAGCCCCAGATTTCTGCTCCCTGCGGAGCCAGGTCATATGGCAGGGACTAGCACTGCCCTACCATGAGACCTGGCTCCGCAGGAAGCAGATATCCGTGCTGAGGTCTCTTTGCCACTGCTGCCCGCCCTGCGTAGACCCACGTTGCCGGGGCAGCGCGGGGTGGGCAGCAGCAGTGAGGAGACCCTGGCACGGGTCTCTGCTCCCTGTGGAGCCGAGTCGCCTGGCAGGGACAGCAGGCTTGCTCGCCACTCTGTGCTGCTTCCCTGCCCCACGACCTGGCATGACGGGGATCAGAGATCCGTGCGGGGGTCTTCTCACTTGCATGGAAGGCAGCAGTCCTTCCCCAGATGAGCCACCCACAGCCCTGTCCTGCTGCCTGCTGGGGCCCTGTAGCCCCCAGCCCTGCCCAGCTGGGTAGGGCAGTGTACAGCTTCCCTTGCAGTCCTTTCAAAACAGATTCGGAGAAGATTCAGCAGAGCTGAATCTCCAAAACAGACTTGGTTGAAACAAAACAGGACAGTGATCTGAAACACCAAAACAAATCACTGTCCTCCAAAACTGGATCGAAACACAGCAGTTTCGCACAGCCCTAATATGCAAGTGTCTCTTGTCACTTCAGGACAAATTATTTGCACTTAAACATGAAGATTAACTCATTTAATGTTTTAATAATGCCCTGGTTTCATGGGTTTAGTTTTTTGGGTTTTTTTTCCTCTTCTTTTTGGCTTGCAGTGTGCCAAAGGCAGTGATGCATTTCCTAGTGAATCACGTAAAGGACACTCTTCAGAGTGAGCTAGTAGGACAGCTGTACAAATCCCTGTTGTTGGATGACCTTCTGACTGAATCTGAGGACATGGCACAGCGCAGGAAGGAAGCAGCTGACATGTTAAAGGTATCTAATCTTCTAGGAACAGTAAATCAAACCGGAATTATCACTTGATTAAATCTCCTGAGGTTCTACATATATAGCAGTAGTTGCATTTTTTGGATGTATGTCCATGTATATTTTTTCCTCAATTTATATTTGTTACTATTAAAAGAAGCAATAAGTAAGCAAGAAAGCAGTAATGAAATACTGGGAACATTCATTATTTCACTAATCTAGCTACTGAAATAAACCAGAAATTCAGGTGTAGACTGTTGTCTTAGTTTTATCAGCCAGTTTTAATATAGTAAGGGTTGTTTCAGCTTTTCCAAAGTATTTCTTTGAAGTTGTTCAGCCCAAACTTGAAAATGGGGTCTCGCAGCATTTGAATGCATTTCCCTGGCTAAACAGTAAGATCCTGGTCTTGGGTGATACAGTAGTTTGGTGACCAGTGCAAAGCTTTTCTCTTAAAGGTTTTGATTGGAATACTCCTCTAAATGAAGGTGTGGCAAATACTGCATCAGTGCTGCTTCTGTTGCTGTGAGGTGTCAGGAGGTAGGGCAGGGTGGCATATTAAACCCCTAGAAGACGTTAATTTGATTACATGACAGGATGCAAGGAATTTTATCCCAGATCCCTGTTCCCCGCTCTCTCTCTCCCCCCCCCCCCCCCAAAAAAAAAAAAACCCCCCAAAACCGCACCTCTTGCCATGCCAGTCATTCATAGTCTGCCATGGCGGGATGCACTTTTTGGGGGGCTCAGATCCCATCCTGTGTCTGCTAGGGCACATCTCCCTGATACCAGGTGGTATGCCTGCCCTTTCACCTTGCCAGTGCATAGGCAGTTCCCAAATCCTGGGTTTCCCATGTGCCCGATCTTTAAATGCCCAGTTACATGTGCAACTTTCAAACATGCTGGCATACAGGGAGCTTGAGAAATGGTGGTTGCGCCCAGTCCCCTGATGCCTGTGCCCCAGACTTTCAAAGGTGATATGGGAGGGATCAGGGAGCTGGGGATCAGCTATATTATAACAAAAGAAAGAAAAAAAAAAAAAAGCCCTTTCCTTAAGGGATAGCAACAAAGTCCTTTTATGTTAACCTGAGAGCTCTCTGTTTCAAATTTAATTTGTAACATCGGGTTCCTGAGAGTTGAGGGGATGGCTTGACAGAGGCTGTGTGATATTGTCTTGACAGCACCTTTTTGTAATATTTTACCCTTGTATAACTCCTCCCTCTGAGGACTTCAGAGACCTTCATGATTAGAGCCTCCAAATTCATGATCTGGTTTCTGAACTTCAGCATTCCACAGCTAGAAAAATCTCCTGGTTGCTGTGTGAGAAGTATATTTTTGTAAAAGCTAACTACTTGTTTTACTTCCTCTGCAGGCCTTGCAGCGAGCCAGTCAGATTATTGCTGAGATTCGAGAGACGCATCTTTGGTGAAGCTTTCTCTACCTGCCACAATGTTTTTTTGGGTGGAGACCCTGATGACTTGAATATTGCTAGGCATTGTATACTGAGTAGAATTTTATTTATGAACTTTTATGTGTACTGCAACTATGTGTAAACCTGCTCACGTAAAGACAGTTGGTTTGACTTTCGGACAGAAAAGTATGCTGTACTTTGCAAAACAAAAAAAACAAAAAACAGTCATATTTCATCCACATAATAAATGGCTCTAAATGTTTTCTTACCAGTTTTCTGGTGCAAATAAAGCAGACCCAAGTCTACTGTCTTCTGACAGTCTTGGGAAGAACCATTAAAGTTCCAGCGCCTGGCTTGCTAAACCAGTTGCCCGTAGATACAGATGGACAGTGTAGTCTTGTGGTGTTGTTTCAAGCTGCTTTTACAATAGAAGTTTCAATGCTGTGAAGAGGAGAGAGTACCAAATATCTTCTTCGAGTATATTGCATGCACCATGGCAAATGGCAATCTCAATTTGATAGCTGGCCCAGTAGAGATGTCTCCCATATAACTCTGTATGTGTGTCCCCATTTTTTTTCCAGAACTTCAAAAGAAAGCAGCATTAAAACAAATTTCTGAACTGCATAAGCAAGTTTCAGTTTAGATGATTTAGCCTGGAACTTTAAAGCTAACAAGAGGACCTGCTAACGAGCTGGTGCAAGCCAATAAAAGTGCACCAGAATTTGCATATCTTGTTGGGGATGAATCAGGTGTACGAGCACCTCCCCCTCTGGGACCAAAGCCCTGGACCATCTGCTAGTAGAGCTGTTCTGACAGAATTTAAAAATAAAAATGAATTTGAAACTCTTGTGGGATAGTAAGTGTTTCTTTAAGGATAAATTAGACAAGGGGAGAGGGGGGAATCCCTTCTTTTTCTTTTCCTTTTTAAGTAATTTTGGAAAGAACAAAGGCATGGAAGGGACTGGAGGACTGGAGTGCTTGTACTATATTACTGCTCTTGGGAAGAGAGGGTGAGGGAGGGAAATCTTGTACTGTGTGTTTAGATTACTTTTTTTTCCCCAAGACGACCCAAGTAGTCTGAGCAGCAAATGTGAAATTGGGACTGTAATTGATGATAGATTTTTCTCCTGGTTACAGCTAGCACAGCTAAACGTGGATCACATGAGCTTCTGATTTTTAAAAAATGTATTATAGTCTCCTATATGAATGCAGACTCCAGTACACTTGCACATATTTTTTTCACACAGATTTACTTTGATAAAGTGAAAATATTTACAATGGTCTTCCTGGTGTTGTTTTTCATATGCACATTTTGTTTGTTGAAGTTAAATGTTACTGCCCATATGTATGGTTATTCTTGGTGTATCAGACCAATACAATAAGATTTCTCCTTCCACACACAGTTTCTTCACCAATTCAACATTTAACTGAAATTGCATACTTTTTTTTAAGCTGCTAAACTATTTATAAACCTATGAACCTGGTAATTTTATGAACAGTTGAAGAACCAATTTATAATAACGGCTGTTAACAAAGTATTGACCCAAGTAAATGCTCATATTAAGTTTCTCAGCAGTATCTTCATATTAAATTAAGACCAACAGAAGCAAACCTTTAATGCTGTTTGGCTTACATGTATCACTCTCTTTACCTAACATATAACATTAAATTCTGCATCTATAAGTAGCTTGAAAATTCACATGGTAAAAATCAGGAGGGAAAAAGTGCTGCCTTCTGTGGTCCTGGAAATATGAGGCCAGGTTGAAGGCAGGATACAAACCAGCTTTAATACTACTGTTCACCACCAGATCAGTTTCTTTATATTTTAATGAAAGCATTACACTTTTTATAATTGAAATCCACTTTACATTTAACACTGTTAAAGTGTTATGTTGCTCCTCTGCTTCTTACCTTCCCCATTTGATGTAAAAATGTTACTTTCCAGCATATTGGTGCTAGACATAAGGCATAAGCAGTAATTTAGATTCCATAATTAAATTTTACAATCTACTTGTCAAGAAATTATATGAATCTTGTGAACTTTCAGAAGCATGCATTAACAAATGAGTGCAGTATGTTTGAGGAAGTCTCACAAGTGAGGAATATTGCACAAGCAATTATACAATTAACTACGTGCTAATTAGTATTGCTGGCTTGAATTCTTTCCAAAGTGCTATATCAAATTTGTGCATGTGGTCTTACTTCCCTTTTAAATAATCTGATGTATGATTTGCGGAAAGAAATGAACATTACTTGCCATTACCAATGCCAGCTTCAAAAAAAAAAAATCAGGTTTTAACATTGTAATATAGCTTGAATAAATACACTCTTAACACAAAATGTATTAATTATCTCAGAAGTTCAACTTTGAATCATGAGGACTAAATCAAATACACATTTATAATATATACTTGTGTTATGTGTTAAGACTTGTTTTAAAATTTTCCACCACTAGTTCTAGTAAAGCAATGGGAGCATTAGTGTAGACAGGCATCTGCTAGTATTTTTAAGCATTGTGAACTAGAGTTAATCTGAGGAATTTAATTACTAATGTGGCAAATGCAAAGCAGTCACTGGCACTGTGTATGCTAACACTCCTGTCTTGCTCCCATCAGTCAAATAAGTGATGGGAAAATTAGGGAAAGAATCCCAGTGTAGGCAGAGGTTTAGTGCTTTTGGATCTTTTTTTTTGCCATTGGGTTTTGAATTGATTTTGAACTCTACCTATTGTGCATTGTACAAATAATCTGATGTAAGAAGCTTTCTTCCTCGAAAACCTACAGCTACAGAAATGAAAAGCTTGGCATCTCTTCAGAAATTTAACTTAATTCCATCAGGAATAGGCTTTAGAAATCTTGAACAAATTTTCTAGTATGCAGTGAAACTGACGCAAAATAGAGGGGGAAAACTATTTAGTACAAACCGGTTGGAGAAATAGAAACTTAACATTAACATCCAATGTATGTATGTTACTACTGTAAATAAAATTGATAGTGTGAAAGACTTGCACATAGTTTGTCAATAAATTACTTTTTTAAGTGGTCAGTTTTACATTTTACTTTTGTGGGATAGGTCTATATGGGAAGGGTGTGCGCTCAAAGGTATGTAAAATACGTATCAAATCTTATTTACCAGAAGTATACGAAATATTTCCTTTAAATGATAGCTGTTAGTAATAACTGTATTTTCTGGACCTCGGCCACAGAAGCACTTCTGTACCTTCAGTGCATCAATGTTAGGAATTTAAGTAGTTTAGGAGCATAGAAACCTATGTGGCTACTAACTGGTGGTTTTTTTCAAGCTGGTTGGTAAACCTCTTTCAAAAAGAGTTTAAACTAGTCAGATGTTGTCAATTCAAGTTGTAGATACAGGTACTCTTCACTTAACGTCGTCCCAGTTAATGTTGTTTCATTATTACATCGCTGAACTATTAAAGAACATACACATTTAAAGTCGTGCAATGTTCCATTATGACAGTGTTTGGCCACCACGTACTAGTAGGTAACTACTGTGATGTAATTGGATTTGCTTAACATTGTTTAGCTTAGTCGCATTCTTCAAGAACATAACTATAGCGTTAAGTGAGGAGTAACTGTATGAGGAACAACTCTCACTAGGAGAATAGTAAAACACTGGCACAGGTTATCCAGAGAGGTTGTGGAATCTCCATCCTTGGAGGCTTTTAAAGACCCAGCTGGACAAAAAGCCTTGACTGATATGTAATTGGGGCTAGTCCTGCTTTGAGAAGGGGTTGGAGTAGATGACCTCCTGAGGTCCCTTCCAACCCTAACTTTCTATGAAAGCTGTATCTCTTTGAGGGGGGAGAATAGGGATGAAATTTTTGAAGGACTGTTGAAGAAAACCAAAGAATTCCTGCATCTATCCCTGGTATTCAGGTAGTCTTCAGGTTTACCAGCTCTTTGCCTCTTCATTTTGAGATACCTCTGTGAAGTTAGCAACTGTAAGCAATTTTAAAGATTAGATTGGAATTTCAGGCTTTAGATTAAATTACTCTTTTGAGGGAGGAGTGGTCAAAACAAAATTGTTTTCACCACAGCAGGCAATGAATTAAACTATATACATATAGCCTAGACAAAAGATACAGAAAATTGAAAATGATGAGATTAGCAAATATATATTTTTCTAATCCTAGGGGATCCTAGAGTTTAAAGTTCTTCCAGGGCCCCAGTCCTGTTAACAGATAATATTTGCAACACTTAGGAAAGTGAACTTGCAGAATATAATTTCCTAAAGTTATGCCAGGTAGAAAACTCACCCTGATTTAAAGCAAGAGTTCCATCCTGCATCTGAACTCTTTGGGCTTCCCCTGTTCAGATATAGCAGGCAGTTTCCAAAATTGAGATGGTAGCTATTATTAGTATACTAACATTTATTATTTGTTTTCTAGAAGCTGCCCAGGACAATTATCCCAGGCACTGTTCAAAGCAAGGAGACCTAAATGTGCCTAAACTGCTTACTGTTCTTTCTGCATTTCCAAAGTATTAATCTACCCATCTGACTTCTTGCTCCTTGGACCCGATGATCTCATGAGGTCCCTTCCAGCCCTAATGTCTATGAAATCTATAACTGTATAAAACACTGAATTAAAGCCAGATTTGGCTGGTAACGTGTAAACTATTTTAACCATAAACAATATACCTAGCTCAGAATCTATTCAGTAATTGTTGGAGAGCATATACCAGATAGTATCAGTTCCAGAATTCATCTTCCATTCTGGATCTCAGTTCTTCCAACAATCCATAGTATTTGGAGTGTAACAAGCAGAGAAGAGAAAAAGACTATTTTCATCCCTTCAGTAAATATGCAACATTTTTATTCAGGTTTACTTGGAAGTGCTTTCCTGCCAAAGGATGCTACTGTGAAGGATAGTAAGTAAAGCCTGTAGGTGTTTGATAAGTGCTGCTTTTTTTTTTTTTTCCTTCGGTAATTTCTCCTGTGTGACTAAAACCCTCTTTGGTCTCTGGATCCCCTCCTGAATGATTTCATATCACGGGATTCTGGACACCTAGCTACTGGGGCTTTAAACAGCTTAAGGCAGAGAAACTTTGGACAAGGAAAACAGTAATTTCCTGAGTTGACCTGTTTTTAAGAGTTCTTCCTTGCCCTCCACATATTAAGATTGTGGGATTTTGTGGGGTCACTGGGCAAAAATGAAAGTAGTCGGACTCACCTGCTCACCAGGGTATAAAGGGATGTGCTGGTTGTAGGTAGGAGTACATTCCTTTTTACATAATAACTAGGTAGTAGAAATAGAGATCTCATGCTTTCATCTGTTAGGAGTGCTAATTGACTCAAAAAGAAGAGAGGTTAATGTAATTAGCTCCATAAGTCTAGCTGTGGAAGTCTTTGCAAACAAACCCCAGTCAGTCTGGTTAACTGTTTGACTAAGAACAGTGCCATTAAGAACCTGGAAGGCAGGTGGCAGTCTATTAGCAATATATGGTGACGTTTAGTACTGAACTCTGTGGTGATAGTGTAAAGTTTTATGAGCCTGAAGAAAATACAGTGGACTAGAATGTCTGGTCTTTCAAGAGTTAAATATCTCATGTTTTTACACAAGACTTGAGTCCAGATTTTAGCCCAGACAGATCATTAAAAACCAAAAAGTATGATGGCTTAGCCTATAATTTTTGAGAAGCCTATCAATTATCAGATCAAAGTGAGTTGGGTTGGGATGTCTTTTATTGTATCCAGTCTGTTTGGAATGTGTTACTCTGCTCCCAGAGCTCCACAAATCAGAAAACTGTGTTCCCTCTTAAACTATATGAAAGGATGATTATCAAGGGCCTGAGTAGTCTTATTGTGAGACCACTGGACTTGCTTCTGAATTTTTGTTTCAGGATATCACAGAATTCATTGTTACTCCTGAAGCTATATAACTTGTATTATGTTCTGCTTGTTTGTTACCCTCTAGCATTTCCCACCAGTGTACACAAACTTGGATAACTGCCCATATTCCCTGCACTGTTTAGAGTCGAATAGCATTTGATTAAGAAAATAAACATCTAATTCAGAATCAGGAAGTGGTAGAGGAATCTGAAATACAGGTTGGGTATCTGTACGCTCTGGAAAATATCGCTGCATCCCACTCAAGATGTACTGCTGAATTTGACAACACAGTCCTGCCTTTCCAGGCACCAGTGAAGGGAAGACATTTCTAAGCTAGGCTACTTGCAAAAACATCATGGGAGACAGCTAGGCTCCCTGCAGTACATGGTAAAAACATTGTACACCTGTCACATGACAAAATCTTTACATTGCTCCTACTCGAAAGAAATTTTTCCCAAAAGGATTTTTTTCAGTTTTGTTCTTCAGATAAGCCAATTCCAAATGTCTTGGTTACCTACCTAACCATCCAGGCAGCTAACTCTAAATTTGTGTGTGTGTCAGGGAAGTAAAGGGAGAAGTCTGAATATGATTTTTAGTGCCCTATGCTGGCTTTTCCTGGCAAATTGATTGCAAATGTATATATGGAAAACTAATGAAAAATATTTCATTATCATGAAATACACTGCTCCTAAACACAAAAGTCATTCTACCATCTTTTGGGTATTTTACTGTTCCTTAGTTTTTCTTTTTTTTTTTTTCATGCTGCCTTTACTTAGCTCCTCTGGAGAGACTCCTTGGTTCAAAGATCCATCACAAAAAAAGAACCTTAACTGTCACTTAATTGCAGATGTTTGACAATAGAATCCAAAATTTAAACTTCCAAATCTGTTGCATTTCTGAGAACTGAAAAACCTAAACATGCTAGAATCAATTGTGTGCGCTTCCTTCTCTTCCTGGGGTGGGGAGTGAAATCAACACTGATAGCAAATGGTAGTAATTCCCTTTGTGCTGCTGATACAATTTTTTTTATGGCAGCACAAAGGCAAAGCAAGCAGATACTCATAGCCCCTTGTCATGCTGCAAAAATTCAAAATTTGTGCCTGCAAGGTGATATCTTGTGCTGCTACTTAGATGATGTGCTTGTTTTATAGTGCATGAGTGCTGGCAACCCAAAATTGCCCATGCTGTCCAGCTGCCCTGGGGGTGCAGTCCTGTGAAGAAATTCTCAAGGTGCACAGGATCAGGCCCCTCAAGCCCCAAAAGCACCTGAGCTGCTTACTCAGAAGCACCCCTATAATCTGTGGGGTGTGTCTTAGCAAGCTGATAAGCCAACTGTCCTCACTTAAGAGACTAGGCCCCAGAGATCCCAGGAGCCCTTCACTGTAAGTAAGAAACCCTGACTTTCCCCAGTTAGAGACATGCTCTCGAGATCCATGGGATCCTTCTTGGTAAATAGGGAAAGCTGGGCAGGCACTCCCGAGGCTTGAGGGGTCTGATCCTGTGTGGAATTCCAAGGGTGCGCAGGACCAGGCCTGTCAAGCTCTAGAATGCATCACCTGTTGTCCCACAGCATCAGTAGGTAGGAGAATAAGCAATCCATGTTTTGCCCAATGAAGAGGGTCAGCTGCACCAGGACACATCCTGATACAGCTGATCCACCTCATTTGGCAATCTCCGCTTAGCCTGAGACTTCAACAGCATGTTAGAATAATACATGTGGCTTTGGAGGTCTGAATAAGTGAATGAAGCTTTATCTACGAAGGGAAGAGAGGTATAGAATAGCATTTTGTTAGAAGCATCTTGTGTGGCTTTTATTCACCATCAAAACTAAAATAAACATGCACATCTATTTTCAAAAATATTTTTATTTGAATCATCTGAGATCATTAGGTAGGTTCTCACATTGTGAGAGAGATAATATGCTACACTATCAGGCTGTACTTGTATATTATGCAATACATATAATACAGACGATGACTTGGGATACAGTCTTCAGGCAATTTAGTAAGAAGGTGTATCTTATATTTTAATAAAGTATTTCTTTTGGTCAGAACTGAAGCCATTTTATTATGTAGAAGTTTTTCTTTCCAATCTTCAGTAGAGATATTCCACTCTTCAGGATATGCTGTCCAACAATTAGAACAGCTTCAGCATTAGTTTCTCGAATATAGTTTATAGAAACTCCACCATTTGTAATCATCTGGTACCTTGAAACAAACAAGCATTGCAAGATGAAACTGGTTGTTCCTACTAAACCTCAAGGTTCAGTTAAAAAAATGCTCGTTATTGCATAAATTTTGATTAAGGAAACTTGAATGGTCTCATAATGAAATAAAACTTCTGGTTTCTAGGTCATCTGTTTAAAATCAGTCAAGGTCTACAGTGACAGACAGACATCACCCCCCAATGCTGACACAATGATCTTTTTTGAGGTGCAGAAGAGAAGGGAACTTTCATTATTAACATTTATGACCTTCACTATAAAATACCTTTCCCTGTTTCACTGAGCCAGCAATAACTTTGCTAAACTACTTGAATATTTTGGCTTGGCAGATCAAGTTTCTTGATAGTTCTGTTCATTTTGTAGGGTGTTTAGAATTCTTTATTATTAATTTAGAAGGACATAAGTAAACTTTTAGAGGTTCCTCTGCATAGCAAAAGCAGAACACAGACATAGCAATGAGGAATATACTCTATAACTCAGACTTAGCGTGAAAAATTTTTTTTGTCAGTATGGGTCAGAATTGGGTAAGTAGCTGAGATCTATCATATTACTTCACATAAAAATTGATTCAATGAGTTATACCATCCCTCTTTTTTTAACCACTATAAGAGATTACTTTGCTAACTAATTTCAAATGGCTACTTGGCTATTCTGATGTCTATAATTATGTTTAATGGACTGGAATAAGCAAATAAAGCAGACCCTTACCTTAGAACAAGTATTTGGAACTATAGAACTGCAACCCATGTAACAAAGTTATTACTGAAAAATACAAATTGTTTCATACCCACGAGGTCCATCTGGAATAGCTTTTGCTTTGCGACATAAGTCAAGCACAGTCATTCCAGGTTCAAGCAGCAATTCAGTAAACGGAGCCTCTCTGAATAGTTCCTGCAATTCTTGGTCAGACATAGTCTCCAAAGACTCCAAACTGTTGTGATACAGTGCTTTAGTACACCTGAAACGAAAAATGAAGCTACTGTTAATAAAATCAGGGTTTTATTGTTTCTATGACCAGATAAGTGTTTCACACAAATACAAATGATTCTCCGTCCCTCCCCAGCACCTATTAGGAATGGTTGCCTCAAGAGTAGACAAGCACACTGAAGCATCATTACACTCCACTGTACACCTTTCTATCACAAGGTTCTACCCTCCTATGAAGACTCATCTTTGTCATGTCAATGTTACTTTGAAGCCTGCATACGTAATATACCTCTTCTGCATTTTGTCCCCAAAACACAGCTGAGTACAAGCTAACCACACAGTATCTTTTTCTGCTTTACCTTTTAGCAGATTCCAGACCTTCTTGGCCATGAACCAGTTTAGTTACTTCTGCAGCAAGTCGTTTCTGCGGACCCCACTTTTCAGGTTCCTTAGTATGCATTTCCATAGTATGATCAATCTCCGCAAGAGGAAGGAAAGTGAAGAGTTTCAGGTACCTAAGTGCAGAGCAGGGTGGATAAAAATCAATGATTTAAAAACAAACAAAAAGTAGGATTTTTTATTTAAATCAGACTTTTTGATTTAATCGTATTTTTGTTAAGATTTTTTTTTTTACAAAAATAAACCTATATAAAGATAGTTTTAATTTAAGGTATGTTAAAGCTCAAAGATATCATAATGTAATAGGGATTATAACTTCTAATTTTATACTGTGAGACAAGATATTCATGTAACCTTTTTAGACGTTTTATAAATAGGTCACAACAGCCCATGGACTACATTAGGGGCCCCATTTTATGGGGTTCCCAGAGGCTCCTCTATAAATTAGTAAAGGTTAAAGAAAACCGCTCTACCCAATGGGACTTAATGCTCAGTCTAGAAGAGCCCATTAAGCATCTCTGTGATACATAAGTTTCAGTTCTCAAACTGGATTTGTGTCTCCAGAGATAATATTCTCGTCAACAGCAGTATATGATGAGAGATAACAGACCTGAATACCTACCCATCAGCCCTATTGTCTCTCTGCAAGTTTGTGTACAGAATCAAGCCCTTATATCTCTCTAATAAAAGTACAAAGCGTCAAGAAGTTAAATGAATAGGGGATAGCAAACAACAAGAATGCACTTTTTGTAGAAAACAGTGATTACATCGAGGCTTCCTGACCGGTGATTTAAATGGTTATTTAAATTAAATCCACCCTGGTACAGAGCAAGAATTATTTTATTTTTATACCAATTGATATATTTGATTTTCTTTCTTTCTGCCATAAAAACATAATGCCCTGTGTTAACATGTTTTGTGATTTATTTAAATCAATCCTGATTCAAACAGTTCAACAATTTCAAATAGTTCTTTATTTCTGCCTGTATAGCTAAGACTAAAAGTATCATCTGTGGCTTATTTTGGTCTTTCCTCATGTGTACAGGCTTCAAAAATTCTTTATAATTTATGCCAAATAATGCTACTGAGACACTTTTTCTATTTTAAAAAAATAAGTCATTCATTACTAACTTTTCAACTATATGAGCTACTTTAGTTAAGACATTTACAATTGCATTTACATGATAATGAAGTTTCTGTATTTGTTCTATAAGAAGAAAGCAAATTTATCCAGTATAGTGTGAAGTATAACATGTATGTAGATTGCTATTCCTAGATAGGAATAGTTCTCAGTGGACAGTGCCCAGCAGTAGAGTACAGGACTATACCATACTGTACCTCATTTGAGAAATAAGACATGGTAGGATAAACAAAATTAATTCAAGGGCATATTTCAATATAAGAAACACCTAGCAAAATACCAGATAATTTCTTGTAAATAACAATGTACTAGCGTGTTGCAGAAGAATGAAGTGTCATTTTTGTATCTTTGATATAAAGGCCTGAAGTTTTATTAAATCTATTTTTTAAATAGTAGAAATATTTGTGTATTGTACTTCCTGAAAGGTGTTATAGGTAATGATGACTGGCAGAAGCTACCTGAGCACCGATAATTTGGTTTGCAAAACTGTTCTGTCAATGAAACAGCGGACCAAAGAAGTTTGGACACCCATATCCGAATGCTTTCAATGGTCTCCAAATATTTCTGAGGATTAGGGGTAATTATTGCTCCATCATTGTGGAGCTATTCTCAAAAAAAAGCCATACCTATACCCAACTGAATCCTTTTAACACCCATGAACCTTTCAAGGTGAAGGGTATGAGAAGAGCAGCAAACAGACCTAAGTTTTTAGATTTGTTTGTTATGGTAGATACTGTGGTTCATCCACTCAGGTGGCCAAAGCTTGCAGAATCCCAGGTTTCTAATATCCAACACAAATGCTGTAGGTTAGTTAAGTTTTAATTTTAATATGGTGCACTTTAGTGAAAAATAATACTTCTTAGAGGCAGAGTATATCTTTTCTGAGATGGAACTGGAACTATGCTAAGGTGAACACAGATATTTTCATTGAAGCAAATACTGCAGTTGCTTCTACTCAGTCAAGTATTCCTTGTAAGTATCAAATACTGCTTTTTTGAGAATACTAAAAATTCAGCTTGGATGTGAATACAATTGCTAACTTGAATAAGAGCGGTAAGCTCTTCTGATTCAATTGTTCTTAAGCCTTTCCTTTGCTTAACTGCTTGATCTTAGCTAGCAACTTGAAACTGACCCATGAATAAATTATGTTCTAATTTGAGCATAGAAATAAAAACAATGAAAGTATATTTTTATTTTACTCTGTTATTGCTAGAGTGCAGTCCTCTCCTGAGTGCTTTGGTATTTAGAAAACAAGTGTAGAAATTAAATTTCTGGTCTCCTCTTGATGTAACATCATCTTACACTTTGTTTGAGGGCATGCACGATTTCTAGGGGCTTTGCTGGTGAACGATCTTAACATTAAATGTACCAGCAATTTTATATTGCATCAAACCATATTCTGTGAACCATCACAGAATACGAAACTTGTGCTGTAGTTGGAACCTGGCTCACTGGGATCCTCCACAATTCAGGAAAAAAATGGTAGTTTCTCCTCTCTTCACAACAAAGGTTCTTGAATACCATAAGGTTCGGTACTAAATCAAGTAGTAGGTCCATGCTACTTACTGCTTAGGAAGGGATGCTTTGAAGCAGTGGTTTTCAACCTTTTTTCATTTGCGGACCCCTAAAAAATTTCAAATGGAGGTGCGGACCCCTTTGAATGATAAGTGTGGGTATTCACATAATTCTGATTCATCATTATAATCTTTCACAGACCCCTTAGATACAGCCTGCAGACCCTCAGGGGTCTGTAGACCAGAGGTTGAAAACCACTGCTTTGGAGTACATGTTGCCCATCTACTCCCAGTCACATGTACCAAATTTAGAAACATGGTAGTGAAACTGCTCAGCGGGCATTCCCCACCACCGCATGGTTTTATTGCTGCATTCTGAAGTTTGGAACAGGTCGGCATGCTCAGAAGTGTCCTTCTGCCAAGAGTGCCATAGTAATAGCAAGACATTCCCTAAAACATTTACAAAAAGATCGTATTTATCAAAATAAAACCAGAATGCATTAGTTTTATTTTTGCATTTGTTCACACACCTGCTAAATTGTGATCCATCTCCTGGTACGTGTAAGTGAGGTTTACTCATACCTCTTTGTGAAATTTGCCTTATGGACTGTATTTAACTGACATTTAAATGAAAAGGGGAAGAACTAACTGGCCTAGTGATACTGGAAATCCAGTTTACTGCATGATCTCATATTTTGTGTCTGTGCAAAACAAAGCTACTTATTGGTGAAACTATTACAGGGAGACATAGTTTACAAGTTTTGTTAAAAAAAAAAAGTTTTAAGAAACTACTTGCCTTCCAACAGTCCTATCTTGCTGTCTGACAAAAAACTGATACAGCTCAAATGGAGAGGTCCTGTCTCTGTTCAGCCAAACTGCATTGCCAGCAGACTTTCCCAATTTATCTCCAGTGGTACTAGTAATAAGAGGCACAGTAATTCCAAACACCTCTTCTCCTGTCACCCTGTGTTAGAGAAGGAATTATTGCACATTAAAATCACATTATTTGGTAAGCTTAAATATAACTTTTATTAAGAACCAATGGTTCTTTTACAGACATTTCCAAACCTTTACAGATTAGTTACTTTGTATTAATGTTAAACTGAAAGAGAATCTTATGAATTCAGTACCACTAGATGCTGGAGGCAAGGATGTTTGTAGCATGCACGAATCTAACCTCTCTCATATGCAATGGTGAAAACCAATCGGGATTGAAAAAAAAACAAACTTAGAACCCTCAAATTTCTGGGCATAAACCAATGTTAGTTTATGGGATTTAGGAGGAAATTTCCCCTAGAGGCAGATTTTATTCTTTCAGTATCTGCATCTTGCACCTTCCTCTGAAGCATCTAGACCTCCCTACTGTCCAACAGGATGCAGTACTGAAAGGGCATGTCAAGTTTGATGTGTTATATGTATGTGGTACAGGCATTTGTAATCTGCAGCAGTTTACAGGTACTAGGTAACTGTTATTTCTGAGAAGTGCCACTGAAGCCTTACTTTACATTTTAACAACCAAGACAAACTGGAGTGACCTGTTTTTACTTTACTTTTCTGAATACAGAAATGACTGTCACTGTTTAGTTCTCACATGCTCCACAGGAGCAGTTTCAGCAGCCTTCTCTCTCTGTACTTATCCCCAGAGGACAATGCTGATACGAATCTTTCCAACAATTGTGTAAATTGGAGAGAGAACAAGGGTAGCATCTTCTGGTTAATGCAGCTGGTGCCATGGTGCAAAATGCAAGTGCCTCAAGGTCATTATAGACTAGGACTTAAAGTCTAAAGACGCATCTCATCCCTACCTACTCAAGGGCCCTATATCTTAGCCAATGCAAAAATGCATTTCCAGACATCCAAAACTTATGTCTACTTAGAGGCTAGTGCTGTTTGAAAAAAAGGCCTTCCACTGATGCGCTCTTTTGCTTTTTGTCAAGGGTCTCATTTTATCTGAGTTCCTACAAGGGGAAAAGAAAGCTACAAGAGGCTCTTGGCTTTCCTGCAGTAAAGTTCCTGGCCCTCAGTCACAGCACAAAACATGAAAGCATGACCACAGGCTACTGTCAATGCTCAAAAATATGATGGCAAATAAAATGCACTGAATTTTTCTCAATCACCATTGTTAAGCTAAGATCAGTGTCGTTAAGGCTGGTTCGCAAACTTAGAATGCTTTTTCCCGCCCCCCACAGTGCACCAGAAAAGGAACAAAAAACCTCCTGAAAGCTCTTGACTGCCCACCACATCCTCATGAAACTGATGCCTGCCTTTGGGGGTATGTTTGCTAAGGAAAGTTGGGCATGGAGCAGTAATCCTTTGAGCTGAGAAGGCAACACCCGCTAAGCACCATCCTGGTTAAGATGCCTCTAGCAAGCATGAATGATGTGAGCCCACAGCAGCACTGATGGCGGTGGAAGTGCAGCAGCGGTAAGCAGGGAGCTCCCACAGAAACCACTGGCAGTGTTGGCAGCGGGGTGGGGCGGGGGGCGAGCAGCTACTGCCTGCAGGTGCTGCTGACACTGTTGGCTGCACCTTTTCATAGGGGGTTACACGCTGCCAATGCTAGCAGTGGTTCCCAACTTTTTTTGTACCAGGACCCATTTATAGACATTGATGGCCAGTCCCGACCCAGCGCCCTTACTCTTGACCCACTGACCCCTGCCCCCAAACCCCAGCCCCCCACTGTGTGGGGCAAGGGGGGCTTCCAAGCAGGTGAAACTCTGCCAGCCTGCAAAGGAAAATCCACAGTTTCCTACATTTTTCTCCCTTAAAGGAGAACCGATTTTTACAGCTTGTTCGTGACCCTTTCCTGTATTTTTGTGACCCACTTTTGGGTTGCAATCTATGGGTTGAAAAATGATGGCCTAAAGCATCTGGGAACCCAACTCCTAAAAAGCTCTGGGAAAGGTTTGCAAACCACTTGGCATGAGGTGGCAGCACCAGGCAGGTGGAGTCCCATTGTCTCCAGCTCCTGCCCAGCCCAGCCGCCATGACCCGTTTTAGAGGGGTCTGCTCTTCCTCCCCGTGAGGGCAGGCCCGGGCAGCCATCTCTCACAGGCCAGCCTCCCCAGGGGGCTGAAGCTGGCGTCCATCCGGCTCCCGGGAGACACCAGTCCCATGAGGGGTGGAGCAGGTGGTGCCTGGCAGCCCGTACTTGGTGACAAGGTCGTAGCCCGACATGATGTTGCCCATCTGGTCGGTGCCGCCCAGCTGGACCCGGCAGCCATGGTGCTGGTACAGGTGCAGGAAGTCGTAGGCCTGCAGGGCTGGGTAGAGGAACTCGGCCAGGCTCATGCCCTCGTCACTCTCCAGGCGTGCCTGGCAGGCCTGGCGGCTCAGCAGCGTGCCCATGCGCAGGCGCGTCCCGACACCGGCCAGGAAAACCACCAGGGGCTTGTGGCCCAGCCACTGGGTGTTGTCCATCAGCTCCACATCCCGCAGGCGCGCGCCGCCCGCTTCATGCCAGAAGAGCCGGCGGTGGTGCTCGAAGACACGGCGCAGCCCCTCGCGCAGGCCCCGCGCATGCGCCTCCAGGC